GGTGTGAAATGGAAATCTCGACGACGGAGCAAGGGCTTTTGAATTCGGTCGGATACATTGGAATTGTGATAAGCTCGCATATGTGGGGGTTTTTAGCCGTAATTTGAGAATCAAGAATAATGCGTAGTTCTTACTAGTGATGCGTGGCTATAGAATTTTTTTATATATAGGACACAACCGGACGAAGACGTGTTTTATTGATATCCATGGGCGGAAGTTTCATTTTTGCTCTGTTATCTGCATTCTCTTTCAATGTATTCACACTGATAATGACAAGGCTGTTTGTTGGCATTTTGTAAGTTCATTCAATTTATCAAATTTCTACTGCTTCTTCTGGCTCAAGTTCATTTGGTCATTGAAGTGAGCCTACAAGAAAGGAGAAAATATAATAAATATAATAAAAAATTAATAAAAAATCATTGCAGTGTTTCAGGTGTTCAAGCAGCGACTTATTCGTACATTGGTGAATTCCATAGCAATGAAACGAGAACGAAGACATTATCCTTTGTGGCAATGTTCATGCCGGCTTGTTTCGTTTTCTTGCCATTATTGGCATGGGTCATCATTCCAATGGAATGGGAATGGAATCTATTTGATTGCATGAAAATTTCTCCATGGCGCATTTATCTGCTATTGAGTAGTCTTTTGAATGGAATCAATTTCCTTTGTTTGTATCAACTGCCAGAAAGTCCGAAATTTCTGCTCTCCATTAGTCGCAAAAATGAAACTTTGAATGTATTGAAAAGAATGTATTCGATCAATATGAATATCGATAAACAGGTAATTGACACAGTTTTCTCATTCCTTCCATGGTCACCGTAGCACACCTAAAAGTCATAAAATCAAACGTATATTCCCGCAGACATATCCAATAAAAGACCTGGTGACCGAGCCCACCGGAATTGCTCTATCCAAAGTGCGTGGAATTTATGGCATTTCAAATTTGGTCTGGAATCAGACATGGCCATTGTTTAAACGACCAAATGTTGGAAGTACATTTCAACTATGTTACTTGATGTTTGTTCTCTTTTCCATTGGACATGGAACATTTATGTGGTGAGTAAACCACGTTCGGTCGACTTGATTGCCTTTCTTCTCAAATGATGTGTCTTTAAAAAAAAGGTATCCCGATTTTCTTACTAAAATGCAAGACTATATTGATGGCTCATATACATTGTGCGACATTGTTGGAATGAGAGTGTTGCCATCAAGCATTCAAAGGTAACCATAAAATCTGAAGAATATTCAATACAGTGTTGTCTGTAATACCACAGTAAAATGCGTTCTTTACAACATTTTTAGGGGCCTCAACTCGTCGCTTGAGTCGGACGACAGTGTATCATCAATCGTGCTTACCAAATGCAATGTCGATCGTTCGAATACATTGACTTTTAAAATCATTTTAATGATGGGTGCTGTATTTGTGACAATCTCAGCGTTAATCAGTGTTTACATCAACAAAGTTGACCGAAAAAAGCTTCTAAGTATAAAAGCGATCATTTTCCATTCTTGTAGGAATATTTATTTTATCACTTTTAAATTCTAGTTGGATGGTTATTGCTTTGTTCTGGATTTTCTGCATCTATTTCTGTAATACCACATTTTTATGTGATGGCCATTTGTTTTATGATTTTCTTGAGCTGTGGTCTGTGCGGCGGAATCATCAGTGCAATATCCATCACAATATTTCCGATCAATATCAGGTAAACACGGGATCATGAAACGATCAAATAGTCGACTATTTACGATTATTTCACTGGTTTAAAAATGTCTTTTGTTCATTACAGGGCAATGGCAACATGTCTCATTTTAATGTTTGGAAGGTATTGTTCGATTCAAATGTTTGATTTAAATGTCTGAGTATTGATTGAATTTTAATGATTGATTTTAAAGGCTCGGAGCGGTTGGTGGAAGCAACTTTGTGGGGATATTGCTGAATGGTCACTGTGAACTCATATTCTATTTGTATGGCATTCTAATTTTAAGTAAGTTCATTTCAAATGAAAATCGTACCAAACATAATTTTCAATACCATTCTTCAAATATTTTAACGTTTCACTCACACAATATGTACACTTGTTCTAGGTTGTTCGTTCGTATGCTTTTACTTGAATACAAATCCAGTGGAACCATCGGCATTCACAAAACATAAAGCAATTGAAGTGAAATGTGAAACATGAAATTGATTTTGGCAATAAAGTAAAATGTTTTTCTTATACCAACGCGTTTCAATTTCGAAAGTTCAACTTGGTTTGTGCCAATAACAAGTTCATAGTGCAACTTGGATTTGGAATTACAACAATTCAAAAAAATATCTTGGAAAATACTACGGATGAATAATTTATTGATAAGAATTTCTTCGTCATTTTAACTTATCAACTCTATAGGTTTATAAAAGTTTCCGGTGGATAACTGTGAAAAATGCAATCAAGTATATAGTAAAACAAAAACCATCAACTATGAAGAAAAAATTAGAGTGTAACGAACCAATGTCATGAGCTAAATTCAAGGTCACTTATAAAAATAGAATTTGATTACTTTGATTATCGCTTGCATTCAAATTTCTATGGCAAAGTGAAACTTCGATTCTGAATTTCCTTCTTATCGATCAGTCTATATCAAAATTTTGAATGTTTTAAACTGTTCTGTTTCATGTCACAATGAAACATAAGTCTCCGTTTGAGTTTTGCAAATTGTCTAAGACAAATCGGGAATATTGTATTTCACGGATCGAAAGTGAAGGTAGTATACTAAACCCAGTGTAAATCTTTCTTATGTGTTTTCTTATAGGTCCAACCGAAGAAAATGATTCAGAAAAATGCAGCTTAGAATATGCGCTTAAAGCCACAGGTTTAACTTGCTTCTATTTTACGTTTGGTCAGGTTAGAAAATTGCATAAGTATATTTTAATTGTCTACAGAGCAAGGGAGATATCACTTGTACCTGTTGCTTGTGTGTGGCATCTGTTTGATGAGTATCATTATCGAAAATACAAATATTGGTTTTGTGTTGCCGTACATTCGCTGCGATATGAAAATCTCTTCTAAAAAACAAGGACTTCTATCCTCAATGGGATATGTGGGAACTATAACAAGCATAGGCATCTGGGGCTTTTTTGCCGACACTGTCGGCAGAAGACGCATTCTACTCATTTCCATGGCCGGCACGTTTATTTCGGCTATGTCAAGTGTATTCTGTTTCAATATCGAATCATTCATTGCAGCGCGATTTTTCATTGGCTTTTTGTAAGCTTCCTTTATATCCTTCTGACTTTTTGATGGCTGTTGTCGAAATACTAACCAGAAGAATTTAAATCTAGTGTTGCAGGCATCCAAGCATCAACTTTTTCGTATATCAGTGAGTTCCATAGCAGTGAAACGCGAACGAAGGCTTGTTCGTTTGTGACCGTGTTTGTACCAGCCGCTTTCATTTATTTGGCATTACTGGCATGGACCATTATTCCGATGCAATGGGATTGGGCAGTATTCGGATTGAAGATATTACCATGGCGCGTTTATCTATTTTTGAGCAGTCTTTTGAATGGAATTAATTTCTTCTGCTTATATCAATTACCAGAGAGCCCGGGATTCTTACTTTCTACCAATCGCAAAGAAGAAACATTGAACATATTACGGAAAATGTATTCAACTAACACACAACTCGATGGACAGGTATTTTTTTCAATTAACACACTTCTGTTATATGAACAAACCACAATATCGTTCATTGTACTTCTCACCTTTTGTCACTCATTTCATTCAAATAACAATGTCATTCTGTGTGGCTGAAATAACAAGTGGTGTTCTGAATCGATTGGCGACTAACTTTGTGCGTGTGACCATTGTCAATGGAAGAGTTTTCATTATTTTTTTTTCAAATACACAATATAGCTTTATCCAGTGAAAGATTTAAAAGTCGAAACGACCAGAACCACCTTATCGGATGTGAATGGTTTCTATGGCGTTTTAAAATTGATAAAAATTCAAACAGTGCCGTTATTCAAGCAACCAATCGCCGGGCTCTTTTACAAACTCTGTTACTTGAGTTTCGCTCTGAATTTAGTTGGGAACGGATTGTTGATGTAGTAAACGAATAGCATGCATATTTTACGGTGCTTCTCATCGATACGATTTCTTTCCAAAGGTTTCCATATTTTTTAACACTAATACAGGAGCGCAAGGGTAAAAATTTGTGCGACATTGTCGAAGAAAAACCAGTATCAAAGGCAGTTTATACGTAAGAACATGTTCCTATGAAACTAATCGAAAACATCATGAGAAATCAAGAATAACACGTAGTTTTTTTCTACTAGTTATGCGTGGCTACATGTAGATTCGGAAGTGAATAAGAAGCTCATGAGTATGTCTATTGATTGCGAAGACAATTCAAAGACTTTGATTTTTAAAGTGCTTTTGGGGATGGGAATTCTATACGTCACGGTACTATTTATGATCAGCGTTTTCATTGACAAAATCAATCGCAAGATTCTATTCAGTAAGAGGCATTCCAAATGTAGAGAAAACAACTTTGACATTATTCCTCATTTCTGCATGGTTGTGGCTCTGTTTGTTTTCTTCTTTAAATTTCAGTCATTTGGATATTGATTTGTACAGTGCCAACTGTAACGATATTATTCGTACGGGAATTCTATACGGTGTCAATTTCGTTCATCATATTCTTGAGTACGGGCATATGTATCAGTATGATTTTGGCGAATTCAGTTGATGAATTTCCAGCAAGTTTCCGGTAAATAAATAATGAATCTTTTTTGTGTGGATTAAATTAAATTTAACACTTGATTGACAATGTAAATAGAGCGTTGGCCACTTGTTTGGTCATGGTATGTGGCCGAATTGGTTCTGTATTTGGAAGTAATGCTTTTGCAAATTTCCTGACAAAATATTGTAATGCAATTTTCAGTGTATGTGGCGTTTTGATCCTGAGTGAGTATACTCAAAACAATGCAACTTCATAAATATTTCGATATCGTTTGGAAATCTGTGAATAATTTTTAATTTTAGTTAGCGTCATCGTATGCAGTTTCTTGAAACTAACAACTAAGCGCAACGATTCCAACAATGCCGAGCGTGTATCAAAATCCACGGAAATAAAATTTTAAAACTCGCGTGCTGAAAACCAATCCAGGTTGCGGTACAATTCGGTTCTGCCTGCGCAATTGTATACACATAGACGTTTTTGAATAAAATACACCGTCTTCTATTGTGTTTGACTAAAAAAAACGGCGTTCATTTTGTTTTCAAGGTTAAGAAAAGAATGTTTTCTTACCCTATTATTGAACACAAGTTCTGGTTGTCATGGTATTATTGAAAAACGCCGCAATGTAGACTACACCAATGAATTTTTCACATGAGTCAAATTGTAATAGAAATAACGTTACTGCACGACTCTTATCTGGAAAAAAGTGACAAAATTGATTTATTAAAATGATGATTAAATAACGTTAGATGGACGTCATTTTTATCGCTCATCATACATTAGCGTACATTCTGAACAAAAAATTCAAGCTTCAAATAGTTTTGCATTGTGCACACAACAATGTTCGTTCGTTGAGCGCCGCTCAAACTCAAGTTGGAAACAATCACGACTAATTGACAAATGAAAAGTCTAATTGAACGTTAAATTGATCAGCAATTAAAATCAATCATATTGATCATGAGAAGTATATAACAACATATGTGTGAAATTGGAAATGGCAACAAACACATTTTATTGTGAAGTTTGCAAATAAAAATATTTCTACTGAGCACTTTAAATACGGAAGTATTTCGTGGCACACATTTACAGATTGCATTATTATCTTTGATGTAAAAGTGTTGTCGGAAATAATAGAAGAGCTAAGAAATCGTTTGAATTTTGAAAAGTTTAGTTATAACTAAAAAAGAATAGATAGTCGTGTGATTTAGTGACTGAAGTGCCTGTGCCACAGTAGCATTTTTATGTAGATTATACACTACTTTCATATATTAATAGTTCGAATAATAATTTAAAGAGAAAAATGGCGGGTGACATTCCAATGGGTGCCATAGAAGGAAATAAGCAATCTGGCATTGGTTAGTATAAATGAAAATTGCATAATATGTAGCAAGTGTTAATGTGAAACTATTTTCAATTATTATTTTAAGCTATTGAAAACGAACATGAAGTAAGCCCAACAAAGGTGATAATTCATGAGCATACTTTGGACGAAGCAGTAGGAGCAACAAGTGAGTGATAACAAAAGATGGAATTTTTCTGAATACGTATTTTCTTCTCTGTAAACTAATATTCGAACAATCCGACAGAAATTGGAAAATTTCAAACAATATTGATCGTGTTGAGCGGTCTTAGGTAATCATAAATGAACTGAAAATTTAGGCATTTTCAATAAAATAATAAATTGGAATGAAAAAAAACTTCTTATTCAGGCATAACAAACCAAATAAGCAAATAAAATTTGCTAATTATGCCAGAATCAGGAGTTTTTCTCCATTCTAATTTATTATTTCAGCTGGCGCAGTAGATAAAAGAAAAATTGATATATGTAGGTATTTTCACTAAAAAATCCATAATTAATCTTCAAGTATTATGGGAGCTGGGTTGGAAAATGTCAACATTAGCTATATTCTACCCTATGCAAAGAGTGATCTTAAATTAACCATTGCCGAACAAGGCGTGCTGACTTCTGTATCATTTCTCGGCATTGTGTCGACATCATATTTATGGGGTTTTCTCGCTGGTAAAATCATTTTATACATGTACCACCATGGCGATTTGAGATTTATGATAATTAAAGAAAAAATTGTCAACCCATTTTCCACCAAGATACATGGGGCCGGCAGAAGGTGCTTTGTGTAGCGGCTCTGAGTGGATTTTGTTTCTCATTTATATCTGGATTTGCAACAAATACGACAACGCTTATTATTCTTCGATTTTTAGCGGGAGCATTGTGAGTGAATGAATTTTAAAGTGACTAAGAAAAATATGGCAAATTAAATGCTAATGAAAAACGTCTACTTCCAGCCTGGCCGGAAGTCAAGCGGGTGGATTCTCCTATATAAGTGGTATTTTCCTTTTGAATTTTGTGATTAAAATTGTTTGAATATGAACATTTTTTTCGATCTCGTATGCATAGAATTTCACACATTCAAAACGGCTGCACGAGCGGTTGCTTGCTCATCAATAATGCTAAGCGGTCTGGCAATCGTATTATCATTGTTAGCCATTGTAATATTGCCAATGGGGTGGACTTGGCACATTTTTGGTATGGATTTTAAGCCTTGGCGCTTCTTCATCGTTTGCAGCTCTTTTATCAACTTGTGGAACGGTGTTGTGTTTTTATTTTTGCCAGAAAGTCCAAAGTTCCTACTTGCCATTAATGAAAAAGAGAAAGCACTTCAAGTATTAAGAAGGGTTTACGCATTCAATACCGGTCAACCGGAAGAGGTATGTACGATTGTCTATCAACATTTTTTTTTTCAATAATGTAACGACAAATATTTGAAGAGCTACCCTATCAAAAGCATCAAGAGTGATTCAATTGGTGGTAACAACTTAGCGAGCACGAAAGGATTTTGTAATATTATGTGCTTGTTATGGTCACAAACGAAGCCAATTTTTTTGCCTCCTTTGCTTGCGCATACGTGGAAACTGTGCTACCTCATATTTGCCATTTTTGCCATTGGACATGGAACTTTTATGTGGTAAATGCCAAAGCGTTCATTTTCAAAATGACAGCATATATTTTAATTTTAAATTCAACAAAAACATTACTCGGAATAACCATTTCGAAATGCAGGTTCCCCGATTTTCTGGTTCAGCTTCAAAACTACAATGGACCGCCGAAAATTCTTTGTTCAGTCGTTGAACCAAAACCAAAATTAGTTCAGGACGATTTTGAAATGTACGATAAGGATTTTATACATGATATTTTTCGAAAATCGTGTATAATTTGTTTTCTAATTTTCAGATGTCAAAATGTAGATAACCAAAACCTACCAACGTACCAAATTTTGTTGGGAGTCGGCATATGTTTCATGGCGTCTGGCATGTTAACAAGTTTGTTGATGAAGAAAATTTCACCCAAAAAAATTATCTGTATGATTTTAGATGTTTTCTTGGTTTTGGGTTTTTTAATCGATTCAAATTTTTCCAAACTCTTTTGTTTGCAGGCAGTTGGATGTTTGTTTCAACGTTGACATGTTTTGCATTGAATTTCTTCACTAATTTCGGAATGATTGTGACCAGTTTCATAATTTTCCTCAGCTGCTGTAGCTGTGCAAATATTGTGATGGCAGTTGCAGTGAATTTGTTCCCCACCAACTTTAAGGGAATGGCCACCGCTTTCATATTGATGTGTGGAAGGTAATGCAAAAATTGAACTAAATTCGAATGGCATAATTTGAATTGATATATAAACATTTTTCAGAATTGGAGGATTTGCCGGCAGTAATCTTGTCGGAATGCTACTGACAGGCATGTGCACTTCGATTTTTTATATCGAAGGCGGATTATTGATCAGTAAGTATAATTAAAAAAATTAAATTTATATCAAATTGGCTATTGAACTAAAATATTCATTAATTTAAATATTTTCAGGTTGTATCTGTGTCTTTTTGACAATAAAAACCACCGAAAAGTCAACGCAAAAGCCAGTACCTGAGCCAAAATAATGGTTTTGCAATTAATACAAATTAAGTTCTAAATGAAGAATAAATAAATAAAGATTCATTCTATTTCCGCGTGTCATTTTTTCCACTTAGATTATCACATTTTTTGTTCGCGTACTTGTACATCAAATAAGAAGAGCACACTTGAACTGATGACATTTAAGAGGTGTATATAAAGAGATGAATCACAGAGTTGCCAATCACGCAAACCGTACAGATTTATAACGCAAAATACAAGTACAGTTCAGTTCTTATCAATGTAAATGGTGTTGTTCGACTTCTTTTTTATGATTACCAAACGTATAACGTATAACGTAATAATTATGACAATTTCATTCGTTGAACTAAAGCTACAATTAAAGTAAAACAATTCCCTGTTTTATATTTCAATTCGTCAACCTGCTTTTAGAACGTATTATTTTTAGTATAATGTTATCATGTCAGTTTTTGCTGAAAAATCAGTATATGCCAAAAAACGCAAATAAACCCAAGCAAAATTTATTAATGTAATGAGTTTACAGTTTGAAAAAAGGGCACGGTCTATTTGTACGATAAAAATCGTACAAAATTTACGTTTAGCCTCACAGGCTATTCGTACGGTGAATTTCAGAATTTCGTACGAATAGATATAGAGACTAAACGTACGGATCGTACGAATAATTTTTCTCCGTATGTTTAGTCTCCATGTCTATTCATACGAAATTCTTAAATCCGTTCATTTAAACGAAAAAAATGATTCTGTTTCGAAAAATGGTAGCAATAAACAAAAAAACAACAACAACAAACCAATTTGATTACTCATTTTTGGTGAGTTATGTTTGGGCTCATTCGGCAATTACGGATTCAAAACAATTGATCGGTCTACAATCGTAAGTTTTGAACCCAAAATTGCCGAATTAGCAATTATTATCGTTCACGCAGACAGACCGAGTTGATTTTTGCACTTGAAGGCAGTACAATCAATCAGTTTGATTTCAATCATGATTTGCAGCCCAAACACAATTCACCAAAAATGAGTAATCAAATTGGTTTGTTGTTGTTGTTTTTTTGTTTATTGCTACCATTTTTCGAAACAGAATCATTTTTTTCGTTTAAATGAATGGATTTAAGAATTTCGTATGAATAGACATGGAGACTAAACATACGGAGAAAAATTATTCGTACGATCCGTACGTTTAGTCTCTATATCTATTCGTACGAAATTCTGAAATTCACCGTACGAATAGCCTGTGAGGCTAAACGTAAATTTTACCGTACGAATAGACCGTGCCTGAAAAAAGCGCTTACAACCAATGAATTTAACTATTCGTCATCACTTTAAATAAACGTTTTGTCCATAGACGTTTTTGGAGGGTTTTAGATGATTTTGTCATGGCTGCTTACAAAAACGTCTATAAAATTGACAAAATCGTCTAATGAAATGACAAGAACGTCTATGACAAAACCATCTAAAAATGTTACAAAATCGTCTATTTTTTTTCAAAAACATGACAAAATCATCTATAATTCTGACAATTTTTCATATGACAAAATCGTTGTGGAAATTGACAAAATCGTCTATATTCACAATTTCTGAAAAAATGACAAAAACATCTAAAAACCTCCAAAAACGTCTGTGGACAAAACGCGTATTAAAAATGACAAAATCGTCTATATTCACAATTTCCGAAAAAAGTGAAAAAATCGTCTAAAAATCTCCAAAAACGTCTATGGACAAAACGCGTATCAAAAATGACAAAATCATCTAAATTCGCAAGGCAAACTTTTTTCTTAACAAATGTGCTATAAAAATGGACACAAAATATTTCTTTAATTAGAAAAAACACCACCGTATTTATTTTTGTGATATATTTTTTTGCTTCAAAATCGTTTCTATTATTACAAATTCGTATAATTGTATTTTTATAAGAAATCGTTTGTTCAAAATATCAATTCCCCATTTTTGCTCGACTGACACTCAGTGAATGGAGCACAGAACTTAATTCTTATTATAACTTCTAAAAAGAAACAAAGTACAGATAAATCCCGTGTATCATCTCCACTTGTATTGTTTTTTACATTGAAGGGCGTTGCACGCACCTTAACATTCACAATACAAACTCAATGCGAGTGGAGACGCCTTATGAAAAATGGCACAGATTGCTAGTGCTAAGGTTTATCTGTACTTTCGATCAATTGCTTTTTCTATCACAATACAAATTGACTGCTACATACGCTGGAGGGCTGGTGCGGATTTCTTTGGCCGCCCACGAGGTGGCTTCTTTGCCAATACTTGCAATCGGCCGGAACTCCTGTTTGCTTACATAGGAGAGCTATCCCTACGATGTGTTTACATGTTACATTTTTCATAAAGAAAGGACAAGAACATGTAGAACGTTTCCAATCAACAAGTAAAACAACTTTATACACACGTTGGTGTACTTGATCGATATAAATGTCAAAATCGGTGATGCTCTCTACATATTCATGGATGAAAATTGCTTGTTCGACTGTACTTATTCGATCTTCTTTGCTTTCTTGGCACGAAATCACATAGAAGACACCGTTGTCGCTTTTGAAGATTCTTCTCTTCGTTCCAGGATCTGTTGCAAATTCAGCACCTTTTTGCAAATCCAACTTGGACAATTGTACTGATGTGTAGAAACATTTACTCTCTTTTGTGGCAACGTATCGCTCTGAGGTGTGTTTGATCATCTCGCATAGTGTTTCCTTAAATTGTGTGAGAGATTGTCGTTCTCTAACGGTGTGTACTCTTTTGATAGCTGAATTAAATCCTTCGTTGGGATTATTTGTGTCTGGAGCAGTCAAGCAGGCGGCACTGTACCAAAAAGATGATTTTGTCAACAAAAACGTATTGGAATTTTAAATGGTTTGGAATAAAAATGTTAGATTTTCAGATGATATTGTCCTTTTTAATGGGCATTTTGTCCATAGACGTTTTTGGAGATTTTTAGACGATTTTGCCACTTTTTTCGGAAATTGTGAATATAGACGATTTTGTCATTTTTAATACGCGTTTTGTCCACAGACGTTTTTGGAGGTTTTTAGATGTTTTTGTCATTTTTTCGGAAATTGTGAATATAGACGATTTTGTCATTTTCCACAACGATTTTGTCATAAAAAAATTATCAGAATTATAGATGATTTTGTCACTTTTTTAGACGATTTTGTAAAAAAAAGTAACAATTTTTCATTAGACGAAATTGTTTTTATTTTAGACGGTTTTGTCATTTTTTATAGACGAAATTGTATTTAACCATTTTGTCATTTTTTCGAGAAAATGTGTATTTAGGTGATTTTGTCATTTTAAATAAAAAATTTGTTAATAGACGTTTTTGGAGGGTTTTAGATGATTTTGTCAATTTTGCCAGAAAACTCGTATTATAGACGATTTTGTTATTTTAAAACCCGATTTTGTTAAGAAAATATTGTAACATTTTTAGATGATTTTGTCATTTAAAAAAATATGTCATTTTTTTAGACGATTTTGTTTTATTTTCAGACGTTTTTGTATTTAACCATATTATTTATTCAATTTAAACCAGAGGCAGTATGTATCTTTCAAAAAAAAAATTAAACCAAGATCTTGTAATTCATTATTGAGATAACTGAAAAAATCTTTTTTCTGTACCTACTTTGTTACAACTATATATCCTTCGTACTATGCTTTTAATCCATAGTGTTATTAAAAGGGACAACTTTTCATGATATATTAATGCAAAGTTACTTCGATGAAATACATTTCATGTAGTGCGCAAAAAAGTAGTTTGTTGTGAAGCAACAAAATAGAATAAGTAACTGTTTTTAACTGGCACATGAGCCGAATAAGTGCCAGGCGATAGTTTAGGCCGCCCTGAGTTTATAATGGGCCATGGTTTCGGGTAAATGGCATTTCAGGAGGAACGAATTTCTTGATAAAACTTAGTTTTTACACCAATACTCTGGTAATTATAAGTTTTTTACATATCTATTTGAGAAGTAATTTGTTCAGACGATCACGCAGAAGCGATTATATCGTCACCAATTTTTTTATGATTTACCAACAAGATTTTGTTAATCTTTTAAATTTTAATTGCATTAGCGTCACTGTTGTCGTGGAGGGTTTGGAATCTCAATCTTTGCCGGCGATTTGTTGTATAGACAAACAGTTATAAACCAACTCAGTCGCAGACATTTTATGGCTGATTCGAGACGAATATCAATTCCTTACAGGACTCAAAGAACGAATTTCATGAGTAGACTGTCAATCTTTATGTGTGTGTGTTGTTTACAACGTTTGATTGACAGTCAAGCAACGTCGGTGAAAATAAAACAAGTTCTTTCTCAAAAAAATATTTTGAAATGAGCGCAAAAATAAATGTTTTTATTTTAAAGCATTGTTTATTGAAATAGAATACAGTTTTCTTTCCTCCTCTGTTTTATGTTTTGATATTCATATGTTTAATCCAATTCAACCCTCAAATTTTAAAAACTACTTGTGCCACTGTAACAAACGTTGTCACCGTGTTGATAATGATCAAAATACACTTCCCATTGACTAAAAACTTTGCAATTTTGCATAAACATAGGGGTATTGCAACGACCATAAAATATATGTATTTCATCAAGTTTATCAAGCTCTTTCCAAGTTTATGCATAGTGTCGAATTTTTGTTCAAGCTCTACCATCTAAATGTACAGTAAAATAATTTACGGGCACGACGTAAGATGGCGTTTTTTCTGGTCAAAAAAGTTGCAATATCCCTTTGTGCATAAAATAATAAAAAAAGAAGAACAAACGTGTACCATTTGATATAGTTTTTGTATCTTTATTGAATTGCAATGAATGTCGACAATGATAAGAATTTTTTATTAACAAAGTCGAACATGGATTTGACAACCAACTGTCGTTTTGCACGTGTGTGCCAGCTTTTGACATGATACGTGTTTTTCACGTGAAATTCACAAATTTCTGGCTTTCGAAGAAATTCGAGTGACAAGTGCCATTAAAGGCTTAGCATCTCAAGCCGAAAGTTGAATTTAGATTAAAAAAAATTATTATGGTGATGACAGAGATATTATTGATTATTGTCTGACATTTACAGTATATTTAAGTGGATCTGATTTTATCGAAGCATAAGTCGTCAAAAAATTTCGTAGCTGCGCAACTAGCGATTTAATACAGCTGGCGCCATCTGGAATTTCTGTGTACAGTGTACCGAACTACACAGAATGTGTGTGATTTGTTGTTGTAAAGAATAAAAACAGAGCAAATCAAACGTTAAACGTGACCACAGAGTGTACCTGTTGCGCACCGTAACATGCAGTGTGTGTGCGCACAGAGACATTTACAGAAATTTCAGTATTTTCTCTCTATATTCATGCTGAA